GAGGAGGAGGAGATGGAGGAGGAGATGGAGGTGGAGGAGATGGAGCAGGAGATGGAGGAGGAGATGGAGGAGATGGAGGAGGAGGAGACGGAGGAGGAGATGGAGGAGGAGGAGATGGAGGAGGAGATGGAGGAGATGGAGGAGGAGGAGGAGGAGATGGAGGAGGAGATGGAGGAGGAGATGGAGGAGGAGGAGACGGAGGAGGAGATGGAGGAGGAGGAGGAGGCGGGCAACTCACAGCTTAATGAGGAAGGGGTGGCTCACTTCCTTCAGCACCGACTTCTCGTTGTGGACGTGCTGCTCCTGCTTCAGCCGGATGACGTCCGGGATGCTCATGACCTTCAGCGCGAAGAAATGCTTGGCAGCCTTCTCCTTCACCAGGTGGACGCGCCCGAAGGTCCCCGTGCCTGGGGGGACAGGAAAGCGCAAGGTCACCACTGCTGCTGACCACTACGGTGTCCACAGAGGCCAGAGGCGACCTGAACAGAAAACCCACCGACGTTGGGAGTGGGAACCCTGGGTGAGAGGCGGAGGCTGTCACTGAAAAGCTCCTTCACAGACTTTTCAACTACACGTGAAACAGTGATGGACAGTAACCAAGATGGCACCCATGCGACTGACGGGAGGGTAGCACATACAGTGCGGACACGCCAGCCAAAGCAGCGCTTCACACGCAAGTTGAAAGGATGAGGCTGGGTGACGTGAGATTCACCACCCCGTTAGGTACACATTAACACTTAGGAGTTGTTTATTTCTGAAATTTCCCATTCCTTAGTTTCCCATCCACTTTGACCAGGAATAACTGAAATCGCACACTGAAAAGTGGTAGACGAAACAGGGGTGGTGGTGAAGCAAGGACCATGATGCACATAAGAAATTCAGGACAAGGGGTGGCTTGGGTCATTTGCTTTGGGGAAGAAACGGGTGCCTTTCACGTTGGACCCTGTGCACAGGAAGAAGGAAATGAGGGATGGAGGAAGTTGAATGGTGTCCTCAAAAAGATGTGTTCATGTTCTGACTCAGGGAACCTGGGATGGGGCCTGAGTGGAAACAGGAAATCGGAGGAGCATCTGGAGACGAGACTGTCCTGCCTCAGCCTCCTGAATCCAACAGCAGCATCCTCACGAGAGACAGAGGAGGACACAGGCACAGAGGAGAAGCCATGTGGAGGCGGAGACAGAGACGGGAGGGATGGGGCCGCAGCCCAGGGCTGCCTGGAGCCCCGGAGGAGGAGGCAGAGGCAGGAGGGTCTCCCCGGGAGCCCGTGGAGGGAGTGCAGCCCGGGACGCCTCTGTCTCAGCCTCCAGGGCTGGGACAGGAGACGACCGATTCCTGTGCTTTCAGGCTCCAGCTTCTGTTTGTCACACAAAGCCCATGATACTCAGGAAAGGGCAAGGACGGATGTCCAGGGCAGACAGGGCCTTCTCATGCAGCATGAAGAGGAAGAGCGAAACTCAAATGGAACCCCAAGACCCCAAACCCAAGGTCGTAACCAAGGCCCCACACATGAGTAAGATGGCCCTGCTGTCAATAGATTACGTTTTGCTACCACGGTCAGCACTGTGATTTACGGCTCTTCCGGTTTCCTGTCTACTGCGACATCCGGTGTCTGTGGAGGGAGCCGAGATCTCCTGGAATTCCTCCTAAGGTCTCATGCAGACTGAGACCCTAGAAAACCTCTCGTCTGACCCTTTTTACTCTTCCTTTTCTCTCAAGTTCCCTAAATCATCCGCTCATTTCCTTAGGGTGACATTTGCTTTTACTTATTTCGATGATGACGTTTTTTGAGAGGATTTTGAGAGACGGGGGTCTCACTATGTGGTCTACACTGTCCTTGGACTCACGGGGACCCTCCTGCCCCAGCCTCCCAAAAGCTGTGACCGCAGGCGTGCACCGCCCCCCCCCCAGCTTCTAGTTTGATATAATTTATCACTCGATGTTGCATTGGTGCTTGTTTTCCAAGCATCAATGAGATGAAAGAAGCAGATTCAAGTTAAAGAGCTGGTTACAGGAAAACCTAAGAAACACCAGGCTGGGAATCAGGGTGCAACGTGTGGGTGTTTGGCCACACCCCCTTAGCCACGGCCACAAGGCAGAGTGGACACCAGGCTCGGCTCTACGGTGAGTCAGGACAGGGCACAGAAGACCCTGAAAACGCTGCTTACTGCGGGGAGTGCACGCCTGTCATCCCAGCACTCGGGAGGCTGAGCCAGGAGGATTACAAATCGGAGCCCAGCCTGGGCCTGTAAACGCAAGACCCTCTCTCCAAATAGAAAATAAAATTGAGCTGGGGATGTAGCTCAATGCAAGGAAAGCTGGGTAAAACGCTCGGTGGCACTGAACAAACAACCGACCAGCCAAAGGTAAATAAACGAAGTGAGGTGGGATAAACACAACCAAAAAGGGAGTACGTCAGTCACGTTTGCTACACGAGGCCAGGGTGCACCCCGTTAGACTGCCAGCATTAGGGACTGCGCACATTGTTGTTCATCCGGAAGGCGCTGTGCAAAGGAACCCGAAAGAGATGTTCGTGACAAGACATTCTCTGAGAGGGACAGACCAGCACCGAGACCTGGTCACCCAGCATGAGGCAGTGCTGGCTAGTGGGTACACGCGCCCCTTACCCAGGAAAGGACCGTCCACGAGCCAGTCTTGGGTAGGTGACTGGATCATAACGTTCTACCTTCAGAAGTGGATCAATCCATTGATCAACTCCTAACTCAGTGGCTTTATTTAGAGGAGACCCTTCACGGGGGAAAAGCGTGGATTTTGACACCTTCCTGTCTGGTTCACTCCCTCTCTTACTGCTTCCTGGTCACCATGATGTCAGCATCTACCTTGGAGCAGGTGACCATGGACTGCACCCTCTGAGACCATGAGCCCAATTAAACCTCTCCTTTTAAGTTATTTTTGTCAGGTCACAGGAAGAGAAAGCTGTCCAACACAGCATGTCCAGGAGAAAAGCATACAATATCTAGGGTCCAGTGCTACCCAAAGTTATGGGGCTCTTTGAATGTGTCTGCTACAGAGAAGGAGAAAGCATGATATTCACTCAATGCACACTGGATTCAAGCTTTATACCGGTTCTCTAGTGGCAAAAGCATTGCACGTCCAATATCTGATTTCAGAAAAACTACAAGCCGCCCATTTGAGAAATGGTGTTTTCTGCTAACAAAAAAACAGAAAAATTAGAATAAATGAAAAAGACAAAGTCTAAATCCCTGGAGTGTCTTGCCTTTGGTTACAGTGCACCTGAGTGCCCGGAGCATTCCTGTTACTCCTTTGTCCTGCTGGATTAGTAACCTGAGGAGGCTCCTATGGCTGTGCTGCTCAAGCCCGGTGAGGCTTGTTACTGTGAATCACACTTTCCCTACACAGTCTCGGGGGACGGGCCGTCATCACCCACAGCATTGTGGTGCAAACAAAGAAGCCCCAACAGGAGGATTCGCAGGATTCGCGAGGTCACCTGGTGGGGCAGCTCCTGGGTCCACCTGGGTGGAAAGCCTCCCTTGGCAGTTGGCATCCTCAGATCTCTTTCCGCACACAATGCTCCCATTCTTCCCGGGACCGACGGGGTGCCGACATCTCAGGCTTCACCAGAATGTCTGCCAAAATCCAGAGCTGCAGGGTTTTCAGCACCCGTATGGGACAGGACGTCGCTGAATCCATTCCCAACCTTTTGTGCGTGTGTGTGCGCGCGCATGTGTGCACACTCCTGGGGACTGAATCCAGGGCCTTCACGTGCAGCGACACGCTCAGCCCTTTTTGTGTTTTCAGTTTACTTCGAGACAGGGTCTCCTGTGAAGAGCCCCAGGCTGGGATGACAGGTTTGCGCTACCCAGAGCATTCCTGAAAGTCTGTGACCCTCACCAGCGGGGGCCTGTGTGGTTCACAAAACCGCACGGAGAGGAGCTAAAGCCAGCGCAGGTTTCAGAGGCTCAAGCACAGGAACCTGCAAAATTGGCGGCCGGTGAAACACACGGGAATCTGCAGGTGAGTGCAGGTATCAATCAAAAGAGCTCACACCCCATCCCAGGACCCTGGAGGCTGAGGCAGGACCTTGCCGGGGGGATGCAGTGAGGCCGTGCCTCCAAAGGAGAAAAGAAATAAAATTAAGTAAAATAAGCACAACACTTCGGGGAGCTGTGCAAAGAGGAACCAAAGCTAAGGCAAGTGAGGCAGAAATAAATCACTAAGTAAAAACTGGAGCCAGCGAAATTACTGAAATGGAAAAGAGCAAATCCACAGAGGAAAAAAAATCGAGAGACAAATGAGCAACATGAACCCCAAAGCAGGCAGAAGGAAAGACAAAAACACGGGGCTGCCGAAGCCGGGCGTGGGGACGCATGCCTGTCAGGCCAGCACGCAGGAGGCTGAGGCAGGCGGAGCTCTACGAGTTCAAGGCCAGCCCGGGCTACACTGCGAGACCCAGACTCTCCAAAAACCAGAAGCAAACAGAAAAATGGAGCCAGGACATTGCTGTCACTGCAACGAGGAAACCCAGAAAGCCGAGGTCCGCTCTTTGGAGAGGTCAGTAGAACTGACAGGTCAGCCCCGTCAGCCCAGCCAAACACGGAAGTCCAAGCGGGAACTGAAGAAGAGCCCTCAAAGGTACCAGGACGCGGGCGTGGGACACGCGCCCGTCACCCCAGCTGACTTACTTCCGTCAGCACTGCGGCCTCAAGGTGCATCCGTTTTGCTATGCGTGACTTGAGCCTATCCTTCTTCGGGGCTGCATAGTACCTCAGAGCGTGCTCTCTCCCGAGGCTGCCCTGTTTGCTCATCTCTAGCGTGAGTCGCTGCATTGATAAAAAAGTGCCACATAACTACCTCGGGGAGTTCATGTCACACCCAACAGGGCTGCGTTCCATATACGGCCGGGTGGTGGAGACCCCAGGAACACACGGCTGAGATGCAGCCTGGACAACATGTCCTGGGGTCGCAGCACTGGGGAGGCTGAGGCAGGAAGGTTGTCGCAAGTTCGAGGCCAGTGTGGGCTGCACAGGGAGTTGGAGGCCAGCCTGGGTTACACAGTAAATATTAAAATACCCAGAAGTGTTCAAGCTAAAGCAGAGGGGTTTCACGTGTGAGCTGTTCTGAAAACTCAGCCTGCCCAACACTCAGAGGCGATGAAAATGAGGGGAATGTTTAAATTTTAAAAATTATTATAGCAAAAGACACAATGCCATGATTTCTCCTCAAAATCCTCCCCGGCTGTGCACGCCCTCCTCCCACCGTCCTGGCCACGCACGTCCCGCAGCAGCTCTGGAGACCTCTTTGCTGAGGGCTTCACCAGGTGTGGTCGCAAACACGGTGACTGCTCTGCCGGGCGCCATCCAGCGGAAAGGCAGCTCGGAAACACACGACGCTGTGTCCTCCTCCACCCGAGTCACCGCAGCTGGCACCGTGCGACTCCTGGCTCCTCCCCAAGGTCAGGATGACCCGGAAAGGTCACCGTTCTGAGTCCACTCGGGACATCGAGGCAGCCGGACAGCGCAGCTAAAGACCCCCAGGAAGGAGGACTCCAGAGCTGCTGCGGAAGCAGCCAGGACAGCGGGAGGAGGGTGTGCACAGCCGGGGGGGATTTGAGGGGATTCACGGCCACGCGTCCCTTCCTGTAATACTTGTCATGGGTGGAAATAATCACCACAGATTTAACTGCACCCCGAACACAGGGTCCGGGGCGAGGAGGAAATTACCTGTATGCACATCTCCAGCCTGGCAGATGAAGCCAACGCCTCAATTAGCTGCAGTCAGCCGTCCCCGAGCAGACGAAGGACGCACGGTGGAGGGGGAGCCCCTGGGAGCCCGGGCTGCTCCTGGGTAGCAACGCGGCTCTCCCTCCCTCCCGTGACCGTGGTTGCAGCTGTCTGTCGAGCCAGCAGCTTGGGCTCCGGCCACCTGCTCTCTCCCCACCTCCCTAGAACCCGGCCGCTGCTGCTGTTGTTTTAAAAATGGTCCCGGGAACGAATCCAAGCCTTGTGCGCTGAGCTACACCCCTAGCCCTTTCTGATTTTTAATTCTGAGACAAAATCTCCCAACATTGTCCAGGCTGGTCTCTGACCTGCGATCCTCCTGCCTCAGCCTCCCAGAGTGCTGGGATCACAGGCGGGAGTCACCATGCCCAGGAATGAGCAGAGCTTAAAGAAGGGCACGGGCACGGCCCCCCGGCAGTGTGGGTTCCCCTGGGGGAAGCCCCAGGGTCCTGCTGGGGGCAAGAGCGAGACAGCAAGGAAGTCTGACCCCATGAGGCTCAGCGGACTTCTACACGACCTACAGAACCCACAGGCGGCAGCGGGCTGCGCAGCTTGAGAATTCAATCTGATGAGCCCTAAAAGCTGTTCCACGTTCCAAAGCTCCGTGGGCCTAGACCAGAATCACTTTTGTCACCTGGAGGCCCTCTCTGCTGCGGACGGAAGCTATCCGCCCCCCAAACCCTCAAAGGTTGAAATCCTCACCCCAAGGTGGTGGTGTCAGGATTGGGGTCCTGGGAGGTGCTGGGGTCCTGAGGGTGGAGCCTCATGGATGGGATCCGAGTCCTCATCACAGACCCCAGAGAGCCTCCCGCCTCCCACCAGGCGAGCACACAGCGAGAAGGCAACACCTGTGACCTATTCCCCTCCTAGGTGTGTTCCTGAAAGAATAAAAGACATCACAGTACAGGGATCCGTGCACACCCGTGTGTACAGCAGCACAGCTCACCACAGCTACATCTTGGAAGCAGCCTGTATGCCCATCGGCAGACGAATGGACCAAGAAAGTGTGGTGTTTACACACAGTGGAGTACTACTCTGCCGTGAAGAAGGACAAGCATGCGTCACGGGTAGGAAAATGGAGGCACCTCAAGACCACGATGTTAAGGGAAATCACACGCTTCTCTTAGAGGAGAAACCCCAAATACACCTAAAGAGCAAATAAAAGCACCGAGTCTAACATCCATGACCGCCTCTGATGGGTGTGAGAGGCCTCAGTGCCCACGGGAGACCCCACCAGAGCCCAGGACCCTGTGCTGTGGGGTCCAGCCCCAGTGCTGCCAAAAAGAAACAATAAAAAGAGAGAAAAAGGAAGCAAAAAAATGCAAGCCTCCTGCTGGAGAGAAGACCTCAGAAAAGTTATCTCCCCTTCACCCAGTGGCGTCCCCTTCCGCGCAAGATAAATCACAGTCAGAGGAGAGAGGGGCCTTCAGCTCGGCCCCGAAGATGGTGGCTTGCTGGTTGCTTTAAGTAAAAGAAAACAAGGGGCCGGGGATGTAGCTCCGTCACCCTGCGCCTGCCTCACAAGCCCAAGGTCCTGAGTTCGAGTCCCAGTACCTAAATAAAAATAAACTACAAAGGGCCGGGGATGCAGCTGAGCGCAAAGGCCCTGGATTCCATCCAAACAAAGACGTTTAAAGCTTGATTTTAGGTGACGGGTATGTCACCTCAAGTGAAAAAAAATAAACTGGGGCGGGGGAGGCAGAGGCGGCATTTGTGAGCCTGGAAACTGGCAGTACTCTTCTCCCAGTCCTGTTCTCCCGCCTTATCTTATCTCCCGAGTTCCCAGGCTGCCCTCCCACAAACCTGACCTTCACACCCGAGCGGAGCTGCCAGACCCAGGAGATACAGGAGGAGCTGCCAGACCCAGGAGATACAGGAGATCCGACTCGGACCTCCAGTTCCCTGTATTGTTAGGCAAACTTACTCCAAATCCTTGCTGCTGTCAACACTGCTCGGCTGCAGGACTGAAGGAAACCTCCCCGGCCACATTCCAGCCGTGCTGCCGGCGGTGACTCAGTTTCACAAGGGGACAACAGCAGCTCTGTCCCCAGGGCACCCGGACCTCAGGCTCCAAGGACAGGACCCGGTCCTCAGGGTGGAGCCGCACGGATGGGATCCACGTCCTCCTCACAGACCCCAGAGAGGCCCCCGGCTCCCACCAGGTGAGGACACAGTGAAGGCGCCACCTGGGACCCGGGAAGCAGCCTCACCAGACACGGGCTCTGCCACGGCTGGACCTCGGACCTCAGCCCTCAGGACTGGGCACCAAGCCCTGCTGTCTGTCAGCCGCCCGGGCTGTGGGATTGCATATGGCGGCCCCGATGGACTGAGACAGAGACAGACTAGTGCAGTGGACCTCAGCCCCCAGGACTGGGCACCAAGCCCCGCTGTCTGTCAGCCGGATTGCATATGGCGGCTCCAATGGAACCCAAATTGGTATCAGTTTGGTGTCAGTGCCAGGCCAGGCCAGGGGCACGGAAAGAGCCCAGCAGAGGGCTCTCCTAGCTGCTTAGAAAGCCAAGCCCTGAGATCCCATTAGTGCCGGCCTCCGCCCAGGTCCACACCCAGGGATAAAGCACTGGGGTTGTCATTATTTGAGTTTTTTAGATCAGCAAATGAGACAGCAAGGCGGAGTGTGTTGGTGCACGCCTGTCGTCCCAGCACTGGGGAGGCTGAGGCAGGAGGACTGCCGTGAGTTTGAGCCCAGCCCGGGCTGCATAGCGAGTTCAAGGCCAGAGTTTAAGGCCAGCCCGCCGGGCTGCCAGGCGAGAGCCTGTGTCCAAAAAAGAAACAAAGAACTGTAAACTGGAATAGTGGCACCGATCAGGGTGATACAGCTACAGAGTGGTCCTGTCTGTCTTGGCCACATACACTTAAAGTTGCACAACATACAAATAAAAAGCTTCCCTACTCTTTCTGAAAACACCCAAGGCCTGGTAAGCAGCAAAGAAGGAACCTGAAGGAGCAGGAAGCTGCAAAGCTTTCTTTCCTCAGCCCTCACGTAACCCCCATGAGCCGCAATTTCTGAGCCCGAGGACTCTGCCTTTAAACCAGTACATGTGAAGCTAGTCCATGCCTCGCCATTTCTAATAGTCAGTCTACACTCCGCCCAGAAGGGGCTGCTCCTTCAAGCCAGGAGTCTGCTCCCTAACCACGGCAGCTCCAGGCCACAGGTAAAAGGTACGTCATTTCCGGACTCCACTCGGGAGGCTGAGGCTGGAGAATCCCGGCCATTCTGAAGCCAGCCTGGGCTCCAGGGTGAGTTCAAGGCCGACCTGGATTACACAGCCAGACCCCTTCTCTCTCAAGACACAAAACAGAAGTGTGTTCCGGGTGGTTAGCGCTGGCCACGCCTACACTGATGTTTACTCAACATTAAAGAGAAGGCTTGGAGGGGTCTGGCGTGGCGGTCACACCTGTAACCCCAGCCCTCGGGAGTCTGAGGCAGGAAAATCGAAAGAGCCAGCCCAGCCTGCGTCAGAGTGAAAAAATATCAAAGAGCCAGGGGCCGAGCTCAGAGGAGAGGCCCTGGGTTCAAAAGTCCTAAGCCGGTGGGGGAGAAAGCTCCTCACTGGGACCCCCGCCGCTATTTTTAAGGACGAGATGACTCCAGTGCAACAGCCGGGAACAAACACAGTGGCCGCCCTGAGGAGTTTCCACCCGGGGCCTCAGGTCTGCCCCGCCCTGGGCCCCAGTAACAACTCTCAGTCGCTGGGACAGTAGCCTCGAGGTTCCCAGGGGGAGCTAAGAAAAGAGGGAGCCGGAGAGCCAGGCGTGGCCCCTCCCCGGCCCAGGGTCCTTCAGCTGACAAACCACACACCACAGCAATTCCCTTCAACACAACACTCCGGAGGCTGAGGCAGGACAGCCACCCGGGATCCCATATTTCCGGCTGCACATACCCAATGGGGTCAAATTCGCACTCACTCCCCCGGAGGAAGGCACTCGCGCGCTGAGAACCAACCAAAGGTGGCCCAAGCCCCGAGGCAACCCCAGCCCCCGCGCTGTGTCCGCTAGGGGTCTGGCCAGCTGCTGTCCAGGGACTGAGCCTGGGCATGGATGGGGGGCTCAGGCTGGGGAGGGGGGTCCCCCAGATTTGGAGCGTGGACGGATGGAGAACCGAAAGAAAGACGGAGCAGGGCGCACAGCGCGTCCAAGTCGAGGGCCCCCTGCGCACCCCATAAGGTTCTTTTGGTACCGGGACCGGGATCGAACTCGGGACTTTGCGCTTGCGAGGCAGGCGGCGGCACCACCGAGCGGCATCCCCGGCCCGGCACCCCGTAAGTTTCACGACTCCCATCAGCTCAGCAGTGGCCTGGGTGTGCAGGTTACAGTGGGGCTGGGGTCTCCACGGTAGGCTGAGGCAGGAGGGTGCATCACCGCGCGTCACTCACCCACGACGGCCAGCGTGTCCAGGTCCTGCAGGCCGGAGACGGGCGGCGCGGGGGGCGGCGAGGGCGCGTGCGCTCTGCCCGGGGCGCCCCAGTTCCCCGCCGGTCGGGGTTCGGGGTCCCCCGCGGGCGCCTGGGCCGAGCCGGGCGGGTCCATGGGGCGCAGGCGCGGGCCTCAGACACATGGGCGCGGCCCGGAGACCCGGGACAAAGGGGGGCGCGGCCGGGCCTCCCTGCAGGAGCAGCAGCAGCAGCAGCAGCAGCAGCCGGTGGTCGTAGCCCGGGGCCTCCGAGGACCCGCGCCGGGGGCTCGGGGCCGGCGGCGGAGATGGCGCTGCCTCGGCGGCCGGAGCAGGGTGCGCGGCCCGGGCGGGCGGGGACTCGGAGGTGTCCGGGAGGCGGGCGCCCCGCTCGCTGCTGCTCCTCCGCGCCGGAGCCGGGCCGGGGCTGCGCTCGTCGGGCGGAAGCGGTCACCCGGGCGGGCGGGGCGTCGCCGGCGCACCGCGCTCCGCCCCCGACTCCTACGCTACCGCCGCGGCCCCGCCCACGGCGCCCCTCCCGCGCCGAGAGATTGCCCCTCACCCCGCCCAGCAGGCGCCCCCGCGCGCGGCCCCCGACTCAGGCAGGACGCGCCCCACCCCGAGGGTGCTGGGCCGGGAGGCGGGGCTGCCGGGCGGGGCGCGGGGATGCGCGCTGGGCGAGGCCGCCCCTGTCGCCGGGAGGAGGGTGGAGCCCGGGGCGCGCGGGGCAGCGCCGGCCGAGTTGGAGGCTTTGCCCGAAAACGGAAGCGTAACCCAGCCGGGCGCCTCGCACCGGAGGCCGAAGTGCACCAGGCCCGCCATCCCGGCGACTCGGGAGGCCGAGGCAGGAGGATCCCCCAGCCTCACAGGGCGGAGGGCGCTGTGGGTCCGAGGGCGCTCGGTCATCTTGAGGGGCGCGGCCCAGCGAACCGGGACGGCAGGAGGCGTGGACGGCGCGGGGTGCGGCCCTCACGTGTGTAGCTCGGGCTGGCCTGGGAGTCACGGACCCTCCTGCCTCGGCCTCCCCGCTGAGAGCTGGGCTGGCAGACCGACGGCCGGGGCTCACGCGCGTGCGCGCCACAGGTCCTGCCCTGGGAAGCGGCCGCCGCCCCGCAAGGCGCGGGAGAGTCCTCAGAGCTCAGGGCACGGGGGGAAGGGCCGGTCCCTGCGGTCGGCGCTCAAGGCTCCCCGCCGTCCGGATTGTGCCGGGTTCTGGGGGAGAGCGAGGGGGGCCTGAGCTAGGTCGGGCGGACGGGGAGCGGCGCCCCGACGGGACTGGCGGTAGAAGCAAAGCCCCGAGGGGGCCGGGCGCCGGGCCGCCTGGCCGTGATGGCAGCGCGCGGGAGGCCGAGGCAGGAGGGTCACTGGTTGGAGTCCGGCCCGGGCAACGCGCTGAGACCCTGCCTCAGAATTTAAAAAGCCAAATAAAAAAGAGCTGAGGATGAAGCTCAGTGAAAAGAATTTGGAGTCGATTCGCAGGAGTAGAACGCGCGCGCACGCGCACCCTTGTTATCCTGGCCCTCAGGGAGGCCGAGGCAGGAGGGTTGCCGGGAGTCCGGGCTTAACCTGGACCACAGAGCAGGAAAATCAAAGGGAAAATAGAGTGAGACTCTCAGTGGGGCCGAGCACGGCGCCCACACCAGTGTTCCCGGCCTCTTGGAGGCCGAGGCAGGAGGGCTGCCCGCTGGAGCGCGGCCGGGGCAGTTTTCTGGCTCAGCGAGACGGACCCGTGGGTGGAGCCGGGAGATGGGGGACTCCGGCGGCCGGGTGGCTGCCATCTGTCCTCGCAGCCCTGCGGGAGGCCGAGGCCGAGGCGGAGGCGGAGGCGGAGGCGGGGGTCTCAAGTTGGAGCCCTGCCCGGGCCGGATCGCAGTGCGAATCCACACCGCGGGGCACCCTTCGGGGCGACTGTCGGGATCCGGGAGGCCAAGGAGACGATGCTGCTTGTGCGGATGCGGCTGAAGGACGGCCCGGTCCCGTCCGCTGTGAGGGCAGCAGACAAAAGCTCGGGACCCCTTCACCCAGCGCTGGACACGAAGCAGCCGCTCAGCGCACCCGGAACCAGCAAGGTTTCCTTTCTCCTCCCCTCCTTGCTTCCTGCCTTCCTCCCTCCTTCCTCCTTCTGTGTCTTTCTTTCTCTTTTCGTTTCCTTTTGCCTTTTCTGCTTTTATTTTTCTGAGACCGGGTCTCCCGATGCATTTTGGCCTCGCCACCATCCCCCTGCCTCAGCCTCCTGAGGGCTTGTGATGACAGATGTGTGCTCTGTCCTCCGCCCCAGCCACCCTGCTTTGCACTGCGGGGGTTGGAGTCGTTGCATTTGGTGTACCCCATCTCCTTTTCGCTTTTGATCTCTTAAGACAGGGTCTCGCTCTGTAGTCCAGGCTGGCCTTGAACTCACGGTGATCCTCCTGTCTCGGCCTCCCACGGCGCTGGGATGACAACCGTGTACCAACCACACGTGATGGAATTTTATTGTTTTGGTACCAGGGATCGAACTCAGACCTTGAGCTTGCCAGGCAGGTGCAGTGCTACCAAGCTACACCCCAGGCCCCCGAAGGAATTTTTTAACAAATTGCTTTGTTACTCTGGGCGTGGGGACAGGCCTGTGACGTCAGCATTCACTGTGGCAGGCTGAGGCAGGAGGATCGCAGATTCAAGCCCAGCCCGGGCACCTTAGCAACGTGGTGAGCTCCCGTCTCAAAGTAAAACACAGCAAAGGGCTGGGAACAGAGCTCAGTGCAAAAGCCCTGGGAGCCTTCCACGTCGCTGAAGAAGGAGAAAGAGAGATACATTGGCTTCCAGGCTCCCTAATCCATCCAGTATCTCATTCTCAATTTTGCTTTGTGTTTTGAGACGGGGCCTCACTAGGGAGCTCAGGCTGCTCTTGAACTCTTGGCGATCCTCCCGCCTCAGCCTCCCGGGTGCTGGGATGGCAGCGTTCTCTCTGAAGTGCTCTGGCCGGCCGCAGGAGCTGCGTTCTTCCCACACGAGTCATAAGAGCTCTGTGTGTTCTGCTCCTAAAACTGCCCGTGTCACCTGGACCCAGGCCATCTAGCGCGAACTCTGTGCTTCCCCGTGTTTACGCAGCGCCGGAACAGATTTTCTACCTGCGGTGTAGGTAGATAGATGAGCTCCTAAATTCTTTGGAATTCTTTTTTCAGTGCTTTGGTACTGGAGCTTTCACACTGAGGCCCA